ATTTTCAGTGATAAATGTCATCTTGAAGCAATGTAAACAAACTTATAGGTTATTAAGAGACTGGAAAACTATGTAAAGTTGTAGAAAAGTGTGGCTGTGAAGAATCAAGTCCCTGAGCTCCCGAGGTCCTTTGGACCCCGCCCTACGCGGAAAAATGATTTAAATGAACGCAAAATTATTTTTTACATTTTTACAAGCTTTTTATTAATGGCAATACTCCTAAACGCGCGTCACAATGTGATTTTTCCTCTTATTCCAAACAACATCGTGGTCGTATATCGTTAATTGTTTTCTCACTATGACACCGAAGCTTGTTTCGGCGCCGAAAACAAATAATTATCGGTGAAAAAATCCGAAGGGATGCCCAAAATTGAACAATTTTCGAATCCCGTCCACTCACCTGCATCGTTTCGTCTACGCGTCGCATTGAACTTCGAATAACTGACGCACCACGCACAAATTCACGTTAATTTAACAAAAAAACTAATCCGTGTACACGTGTTCGCAATATTAATCGACTAATGATGTAGAGCGTCGTGACATCGTGCAAAATTATTGAATTTTCACGTACTATATGTTCACAGGCCTGTGCTTGGCCTCCATTTTGTGAACTCCGCTCGTTCTTTCGCCCTCCCCCATCCGTCTTCCCGTCATGCAACGCTTGGCCTGTCCCCTACCAGTCGACTACAGCGCACCCTTCCCGCCATCCCCCTCGCTAGTTTTCTTTCAAATAAATTTGACATATCGACAAATTTACCATTTTACAAGAAAATTTGGAAAAAAAAAAAATCTAGTTAGATTTATTTAATATTACTACTAATACTAGATCTAAAACTTTTCTTTTTGCCTGGTAGTCGAAAAAAACCAATGTGCGAAACGGAAATCGTTGTTAGACAGCCATTTTTATTACTCACGGAAATTTTACCCAGAATGCACAGCGTCAGTTTTTCGATTATTCAGTCAAATGCGCAATTAACATAAAATCTTACGACGCAACAGTCACGTATACTACGTAAAGGATTTCGTTATGTGGACGAGATTCTTTAACATGTTTTTTACTAACATAATAATTTCACGTACGAAATTTGACGAGAAAGAAAAAAATATACGTATCAATGTATACATACATACATACATACATACATACATACATATATAAATATATATATATATATGTGTGTATGTGTGTACACACATACATGTATAAAAAGAAAAATCCAATAAATTTGAACTTAGTTGTCGTAAAACGTCGTAAAGCTAATAAAAAATATTACGTAAGATCTCTTTTATGTATCTCGTTGACGTTTCGATCGAAAAAATTAATATTACGTCTCTCGTGTATGTCAACTTGACACAAACTTTTACAATTCGAACATAAGCGTTTTGATGATATCACAGAAAATTCTTCCGAGATACTACCACTAATATTTTATCGACATGATGGCACAATATTTAACGAGCTCAGGGACCTTAATTTCTACAGGTCACAATTTACGAAACAATGCACACTCGGAACGAGGCAATCTTAGTTTACGAATACTAATTTATACGAATAGCCGTATGTATGATGACACCATGCAAAGTGAAGCGTGGACCTCTTTTGAACGTAATGCGAATAAAAAATTTGCCGTTTTCCATCAGATTGGGTAGTGTTCGTGTGGCACGTAATTGCCTTAACTATAATTCTCTTATATCTAAGATAGAAAATAGAAGAAAAAAAATATAGTTCTAATGGAGCTAAGCGTTACCCGTTCCAATGAAAATCAGCCTGCGCTTTCGGAGGATATGGAACTAACGTATAATGACCAGAATGAAAGACGAAAAATATTACCCAAAGACCCGTGGCACATCGCACCGGAAAAGGAAGGGCCGCCGGAGGTTTCGAGACGCGATGCTTCGTCATTTCCAGTCGATAGTAACGCCTCTCTCGAATAATCGAAACTCTATACTCGACATTTCAACTCGTGAAGCGTGTGTGTACATATATATATATATATATATATACATAACACACACGCTCATGTATGCATCTCGATCAATCATAGAAAGTTTACCTCGACTAAATTAAAAATATCCTTTCTTCTTCTAATTTCATTTATCCTCGACAATTGAGATAAAATATTTGGTCAATAAAGATTTATTTATTTACACAATTCATATGCAACGATATACATTGTGTAATGTACATATTACATATTGGTCAGAAATTCATAAAATGCAGAAATGATGGAACACGATAGCATAAAGAATATATGTACATATATTCTATACACTTTAAGATTAGTTACATACATATAGAACGCTCTTTTCTTAATACTGTTTTTTTTTCTTTTTTCTTTTTCTTTTTTTTTTTTTTTTTTTTTACGAATTACATTGAAAGTACAATTATGAATATACCGCGAAAGGAAAGTACTGCTGCATATGATATATTTCGATCAATAATTTTGCACTTTTATTATCTTGTATTAACTGAAAGAATTCCAATATAAAAAAAAAAAAAAAAAAATTAGAAAAAAAAAAAAAACGTATAAGAAAATAATCTCAGTCTCCAACGTTAATTAAACGAATTTTCAGTTAGTTTTCAGCTATAGTTATGAAAATATGATTATGATCCTTTTTTTTTTCTTTTTTTTTTTTTTTTTTTTTTTTTTTAGATAAATCATACGGAGGATAGAATTATCCTCCTTTTCTCTGCTGCGAATAATTTTATTTTAATTAATCTATTGTAAATCTATAAGTCAAGCAGTATCTTAACAAAGAGAAAAACAAAAAATACAGATGCGAAAGCTGAGCTTAGTTCAAAGTGTTATTCTGGATCGGCCGTAACAGTAGTTTCTTCTTTTTCTTTTTGCTCTTGTTCCTCTTTATCTTTAGCTTTAGCATCTGGTACCCAAAGACCACTATCGATACAACGTTTCATATGATATCTAGCTTCTTCTTCAGGCATAGCAGCTATTGTTTGTTGCAGTAATGGTATGTCCTGTGCTTCGAAACATTTTTGAAAAGACTAAAAATAAAAGAATTGATATTATATTATCAAATATTAACTTCTTTAATATTTTTCTCTACGATACTTTCTCCATATTTCCTTATATAGAATAATTGATTTTTGTTTTTCACACCTTTGGAAGACTTTCAAAAACTTCAATTGGATCAAGACCACCGGGGCCAAGCCTCGCTTTTCTTTCTTCCTCTTCCGCTTCTCTAAGCGCATCTGCAACCTTTTCGGCAGCACGCTTACATATTCTATCCTTAAATGCTCTAAGTTCGTCGTCAAAAGAATTCTTGTATTCTACTTCTGCAATTTGTATACGACTAAAAAAGGAACTAACGCAAGCTCTAGGATCAATGTCTAATTGCTTGGATAGTTCCAATATATATTGCATGCATATGCATTGATGAGCCACGTGTTCCATTAAATCGTGTTTCTGTAATTAAATAAAAATATCATTATAAGACGACATTCAATTATCATAGAATTACGTAATAATTGACATACCTCTTCCATTTCTAGATTAATGCACCAAATAACTAAATAATTTGCTGTATTCTCACAAACTATCTGTGGATTATCCAAAAGAAATTTCTTACTATCGTCGTATCTTCTAAGCATACCAAATTCTTTTAACTTTTTCTCATTATCCTTTACAAATTGTTTCATTCTTTTCTCTTTCTCTTCATCTGAGAAACTTGAATCATCATCACTCCTTGCTGGTTTTGTGTTTATTACAGTTTTTGTAAATCCATCTTGACCGATTGTATCCACATTCCATGGTGTCATCTTTTCCTTTTTATTCATTTCATCTTCTCTTGCTTTAATTTGTTTCTCTTCTTCTTCAAGGTCTTGCAAAACTTTTTTTAATGCAGTTAAATCGGCAGAATCCTTTTGCTCGTTTTCTAACCTTGCAAGCCTTTCTTTTGTATCCTTAAGTTTTTGCTTGTGCCTAAGGAAAAGAAAAGAAAAAAATAAGGTACACATATTTAGATACAATTAACGTTAAAAATATTAATACGACATTAATAATATCATTTATATACTTAAGAATATAAAATGTATATTTTCATTTACATACTCTGCCTTTTTCTTTTCATGTTCCTCGTGTTCACGTTTTCTTTCTTCCATTCGTTCCAATCTCGCTTGATGACGCCATCTAAACAAGGATGGTGTATCAATGTTAGGATGAGTATCATCTTCGTCGTCTGAAATCTAAATATTATATGTTTTTATATTAATAAAAAAAATTTTATAGAGATAATTGCTTAAGAAACGTTGAGTCAATCATACGAGATAGGATATAGATTTAAATAATATCTCTAACAGATCGTTGTGATATCATTGAAATATTTGTGACTTGATAATAACAATAAACAAGAATAAGAAGATCAAAATATAAGTGTATATATATAAAAGAATAAAGTAGACTGACATAACAAAAAAAAAAAAAAAAAAAAAAAAAAAAGAAAGAAAGAAAGAAAGAAAGAAGGAAGGAAAGAAAGAAAAGACAAGAAAAAAATTATAAATTATCCACGAACGATACGAGAGAAAAAAAGAAAAAAAGGGGACAAAATATTAACATTCAATATCAATGTGAAGAAAATCCAATGGCAATATTTTGTAAAAAAAAATTGTTATCATTCTAGAATATTCTACAAGCATTCAGGACTAACGATTAATATCCTTACTTCGATATCCTTCCACTTGCTGTAATCGACCATTATTTGAGTATGGTATGTTTACACCCACGCTTTTTAAAGTTGTTTTTAAATCGATCGTAAAAATTAAACTTCTGTTTAAACAAACAGTCGATCTTGTTCGGATTCGCCGAAGTTGGTTGTCAACTACTGCAACGATGTGAACACCGAGCTAAGTTCTTGCGATATGAACATTCGATATACGATAACTCGAACCAATCATAAACGACGCATAAAGTATTATTAATACAAAACAATTATTATTATATAATTAATGTTTTATATACAAAATAAAATGCTTTTTATATTTTTCCATTTTTTATAAATAATTTTCATTTTAAACGAAAAAATTTTATCTCGAACTTCGATCCCTTTTATTATAACGTATTTCTCGCTCATAAATAAAAAAAATCTACGTGTTAGTCCTTTTTGTATATGATTGTGTATGCGCGAGTGTATGAGTGAAAATTATTATAAGAAATTTCAATGATTAGCTCTTTGCTAATTAAATTTTATCAATCTTCTTAATTAAAATTTAAATCATAATAGTATATCTAGTGTTAAAGGAAAAGCTTTCTTTCAAAACATCAATTACTTTAAGAATATATGACAAATAAAAATTTGATATAAAATAAGTATGTCATTTACCTATACTAAGTGTGTATATATATATATGTATATATATATATATATATATGTATGTAAATACAACTTTTTCATATATATGTGTCACATTTACGATATAACAGAATAGTAAACATGTGTAATAGCGTAGCATAAGTAGTTAAGAAGCCGGTCAAGTAAATAATTCTGTAATAAATTTTTTTTATATTTAGTGAATATGATAGGAATGAGAATGAACGCATTTAATGATACTGGACTCGGAGAACCCGAACAAGATGCAAATAGTGCACTTATTGAATTAGACAAAGGTTTGTACGTAGAAATTTCTAACCTCAAAAAATTATGATCTCATTTATATAAACAACAGTTTTAAATTAAATTTCCATTTGCACTATGAGCAAATTAAATAAATAACCATGTTTCTTATTTTTTTTTTTTCAGGTTTACGATCTAACAAAATAGGTGAACAATGCGAAGCAATAGTTCGTTTTCCTCGATTATTTGAAAAATATCCATTCCCGATATTGATAAATTCATCTTTGCTCAAACTAGCAGAAGTATTTCGCATGGGTAGTAATTTTTTAAGAGTATGGGTACTTAGAGTATGTCAACAAAGTGAAAAACATTTGGATAAAATATTAAACGTGGATGAATTTGTCAGACGTATCTACAGTGTAATTCATTCGAATGATCCTGTTGCTAGAGCTCTAACCTTACGTACCTTAGGTAGTGTTGCAGGTATAATACCTGAAAGGCAACAGGTAATATTTCTCATATAATCTTTTCTTCTATAGAATTCTATAGAATTTTATAGAATTTTCTTATATAGTATTTCATTTTATTATTGTATTATTTATTTGAAGGTTCATCATAGTATAAGGAGATCTTTGGATTCACATGATTCGGTCGAAGTAGAAGCTGCTATATATGCCGCTCAAATGTTTGCAGCACAATCAAAATTATTTGCTGTATCTATGTGTAGTAAAATCTCTGATATGATAAGAGGTCAAGCAACGCCAGCCTCTATGAAATTACAACTTATACCTATTCTGCAATATATGCACCATGACACATTTACTGCATCAATGGTATTACAAAATATTAAAAAATTTATTAGTTACACTAAACGTAATGTATTCATTGAAATTTATATTTATTAAAGGTAAATGAATTGTGTATGGAACTTCTTGCTAGTTATCCAGCGATTGAATTTGTAAGAGTAACATTGAGCGCATTAAGCACATTAGCTTCTGCCACGTTAATAGATATTCCAGAACAAGTTGTATTGCTCTTACGATATCTTCAAGACGATCCTCGGTTATCTATTAAACGTCATGCTTTACATTTACTCCATACACTTGCAAGACGTGGCGCACATTTGTGGCCACAAGGTGCTCTCAATAATTTGATTGGTACGTTTTTTCAATGTTTTTCTTATTAACATATATTTTTTTTCTTTTTCTTTTTCTTTTTTTTCTTATTTAATTTTACAATACATTCATATATATTTAGAAAGTACTACAAAATTATTACAAGATGGTACTGGAAATACAGATCTATTGATTCGCACGTTAGATGTAATAGAGGTAAAGTACCATTCTTTTATATAATCGTTATTATATTTTTGTATGTACAAATAATAAATACAATAATGTTTAAATATAGGTACTGAGTCAAAGCGCTATTACTTGCGACGCTAATATGGACGAAGGGAGTCCTCTTTTATCTCTTTGTGTAAATGCTTGTTATTCTCCAGATCCTTTTGTTGCTGTCAAAGCTGTAACAATACTCGCAAGAGTTGTATGTTATTGGTAAGAAGAGAAAAATTGTTTTAATGTGAAATTAAATTACATAGTGCTATAAAATTATCCTAAAATTTTCTTAATTGACAGCTACGAAGAGGGATTACCTACGTATGCCACCCAGGATCTTGTATCTTGTTTGGAATCATTGATTATATTATTAGCTTTAGATGACAAGCATTTGCATCAACTAAAAGCTTGTTTACGTTCAACGGTAAAATTATGCCATGCACAGTCGAATCATTGTTCCGTTTTTGTCGATGCTATTGGATCTACACTTATTAGCACTAGTGCGGAAAATGGGCAAAGTGAAAAACAAGCTGTTGCATTATGCGAAGCTTTGGGAGCAATTGGAAGTTTAGGAGAAAATATATTACTCCCACTTTTACCAGATGTATTAATAAAACTAAAACAAACTTCGCACATGCATACTAAGGTTTGTATTTTTTTTTTTTTTTTTTTTTTTTTTTTTTTGATAATCATTAAACTAATCATACTTCATTCTATTAACTTGTTATTGTAGGTAATGTTATGCACATTACTTTTCCAAATGATAGCAGGTGGATACGAGTGGAATACCGAGTGTTCGAAAGCTATAGAAGAAACGACAAAAAGTGTGGATGGTTGGGCTAAATATCGAATTGCAAGAGGTGCTGCTAGATACGGTCATCACGCAGTTGCAACGCAAATATTTAAGAGTTTAAAGGAAGCCGTTGCATCCGAACAACTTCACTTTTGGTTATCAGGATTGGAATTGGTTACCAAAGCAGAAAGCTTTCTCATGTAAGTAATATTTAACCCTTTCGCTACGGCAGTGTGTTCCGTCGGAATGACACCGCTGATCGGACCACCGTGCCGCCGGAGTAGCGCCACTGAACGGAGCATCGATGCACATCGATGTGCAGTATGCCTAAAAACAAGAATATCGCGGGGCTGATGGTCAAGCGGTACCACGCTGACGCCGTCTATAGCCGGCGCTCGTACATACAGATCATCATCGCGTGGATCCCGTCTGTAGTTGATGCTCGTAACGAAAGGGTTAATAATGGCATATATTTAATTTATAATAAACTATGTTTCTTTTTTTCATCTATATATTGAAATTACGAAGGGACAACGTCGACGCAATTGATACTTCGAAAAAAGTGGATATAGTTGAAAAATTAAACGCGGCAATTGCACACTATGCAAGTGCTTGCGCATCATTAAAAGCTGCTAGTACACCATTACGTAGTCTACAATTTGCCAGTGAATATGCAAAATTACGTTGCGAATTTTTACAAGCTGTGGTACAACTTTTACATTCCTGCAGGTAAGTTAAACTTTTTAATTAATCATGATCGTTCAGTAATAATTACGTTTGTATCTAAACTGATATATATATTTTTTTTCTTTTCTTTCAGATCGTTATGTACTGCCCCACCACCTGCTATCGCGTGCACCGTAGTTCTTGCGACAAAAGATGATCTTCAGCGATACGGACGTGTAACGCAACAGGTATAAAAAAAAAAAAAATCTTAAAAAACAACTTAAACAAAAATAATACATAAAATGAATAATTCAAAAACGTTATATCTGATAGATGAATTTAATCATTGTAATTTAAATATCGTACAGCTAAGAAAATCCGTTCAAGAATTAAAAATGTGCGCTGAAAATTATCAGAAATTATATCAATCTGCTTTCGATGCAGATCCTGGTTCCTTGGCGAATATAAGAGCGTATCCTTTCAATATGAATATATTAGCAAAAATAATAATAAATAATCCATATAATAATATAATTAATCAATATAATTGTAATAATAATCTATTCAAAATATTTACCTTAAAATTCTCGTATAGTTTACAAGAAATGTGCTGTTTAATGGGAAACAGCGTGGAACGAGTTTGCGGAGGTTCTACTATATGTATGTATCAACAGAACGAAGTAAATTTTGATTTTGGAGGAACGGTAGAAATGCGTCAGTTAGCTCGTTATTGTACGGAATTACGTCGTCTTGCACCACCATGGGTTGGTGAAGGGAAGGCAAGTGGTATCAGTCACGTAAGAATCGGATGTATAATTTCACAAGTTATGTTATTTGGTGCTGGAAACATGAGGCTACCCATTCCACGTTACTTTTTCCAAGCTTTGCAAGCTACGAGCGTTAAACTCTCGGTATCACCGCAACCTCGAGTACTCGGTGAACCAGTTTCTGTACCTCAGGGCAGTCAATTAGCATTAAAGGTCGAAGGTGTATTGAGGCACGGTCGACGTGCATCATTGTATCGTTCGGTATCAGCTGTGTGCATATCTATATCTACTACACCCCCCTCCAAGATCAATTCGGATCAAAAGGTAAAAAGAGAAAAAAATTATATAAAAGAATTACTCTTGTTATATAAAGTTTTTATGTGCAGGATACAAACATGAACGAGTTGCATCAAACGGTAACACCCCATCGGGATTTCTTCGCTTGCGAATTTTTACTTTCCCTTGGAAGTGTTGCAACCTCGACTGCGGGATGTGCGAGTACATCGACTAATTCCGGCAATTCGGCGTCCGGTGGTGGTGGTCAATATCAAGTAACTGCAAGTGCAAGTATACTCGACAAAGATGGTAACGTTTGGAAATGCGGACCACGTTCTACCCTTCAAGTGCGAGTACACGAAGAACCTATGAAGAGAAAATTACCTTAATGATATTTTTAATCATTATGAATTACAAAGTAAATTATATAATATTTACAATTTTACTCTTTACGTACCTATCCAAGTGTCATCGGTAATCCTATTATTTTGTCCGAATGATTTTTCTTTATTCTTTTTTTTATTCTTTTTTTGTTATTTTGAAAAAATTAAAAATTCGCATGCGCGCATTAGAGCCGCGCGAAAAGCAAAAGATAGATTGTATTTTAATGGCTCGCGTGATATTCATTGTGCGGCGAGAGAGTAGACAAGTAGTCAGAGTCGGCGTGCAAGTAGAAGAGCATCGAGGGAGGACCATAAAAGGGAGATCGCGAGGGTGCTCGGCGCACAGTCGCGCTTCGTCTGCCCGCCTGAACGTTGCGTGTGCAATCTTCGAGAAATTGTTGAACGATCGCTCAAGTATTCGCCGAAAGGAGAGAAGCAACAATTATGTATTCCAAGATAATCGCTCCAAGATAATTGCCTCGTCGATTGTATTATTGAAATTCGTCACGCGTTCGCGTGCGGTGAGTAAAACTTTTGCAAATGATTTTTTTTAAATGTCATTGTCATTTAAATTTTATTTTGATATCAAACACACACACACACACACACTCGGTTCACACTCGTAATTCATTTCCCGCGAAATTTTATCCATATAATATACAAATATTATAAGCGATATTTTCATTTAATTTGCACGCAAGCTATAGATTTTTTCTTTCTTTTTTTTTCTTTTTTAAATCGCAACATCTTTTTCTAAAAAATAATAAATTTATATCGTCATAATAAAAGAAAATTTTTAATAGAATTTTAATAACATATAAATCAATGACCAATGCAAATTTAAATGATGAAAATCACATTGATTTTATATTCGATACTTGATTAGTTATGAGCAACGATTACTTCTAATTCCAGTTTACAATTAGTTTTGCATGCATTATTAGAAAAGCCCTTATATTCCTTAGAAAGATACGGAGAAGACTCACGGGGCTTTAATGTACAATGACTGTACCGAGACTACTACTATGGCACTAAGCGTTGCGGTTTAAGCTGTTCTACAATATATGCAATGCGATTCGAACTGCTCTTCCAAAGAGTAGTTGTGCCAAATGGTTCACGAACTAATGCTCAAAATTCGAGTACTTCGATGTTAGAGCGATGGTTTAGTACACGTGTGCGCGCGCGAAAAAAAATATATCAAAGGAAATTTTCCTCTTTTAATATTCTTTTTTTTTTCTTTCTCTCTTCCAACAAAGATTACAAGTTTTTCAATGGAAAATTTTTCAGGAATTTGAAAAGATGTTGAAATAAGTTTCCTCTTTTCCTCCCAACTCCTATCTCTCTTTCTCTCCATATAAGAAATCTCTTTTATTCCACTAAAATTCATTTCGTTAGCCCATCACCTTTATTCGATTTGATAAAATTGAAAAGGAATAACACACAGTAAGATTCGGTTTCTCTAAGATTCTCATGCATAGAAAATCATATCGGCTTCGTATATACGCACAATTGCAGATATTTCTTTCTGCTCGATCGAATCGCTGAGAGGGCTTGAAGGAAAAGCACCCTTACGCTATACATTTACAATTCCTATGTAATGTGGTGATACTCGCTAAAGTGGATTCTTTAGAATGACAAAAGCGAGTGAACAATTTTATTCTATTAATTACTTTACATATTTTTTATTTAAATATTTACACACACACACACACACACACACACACACACACACATATATATATATATATATATATATAAAAGAATAATAATAAAAAAAAAGGATTTACAGTTCTTGGTTGTATGATTGATATTCGAAGAATGGATAAAATCTCTGGGTTTTTTAGAAAATTCAATCGATTAATCTTTCCTGAGTTTTGTTCACGGAAACATTCGATTTTGCAGCCATGCGTTATTTGCACTTTTCGTTCTTCGTTCGTCACACGTTATTGCTCATCTATCAAAACTTTTATACGCATTGTCGTTTAAACGATATTGAAAATATTACTTTCAAACGAGACAATATAAAGTTCATTCAAATTAAATCAGATTTCCTTTTTTTCTTCCCCATTATACTTTCATAATAATACAACAGAACTGTGATAAAACGAAAATGTATTCTTCATTTTCTTTTCTTCATTTTTCATTCTTTCTGTCCTGGATAAGAAATAAACAAAATTTTTCATCGAAATATCGAAATTGACATTTTATCATCAGGAATTGCTTTCACGTTCGCGCATGATCACCCATGAAAGTTCGAATTAAGCGCGGCTAATACGTTGGCACGTCTCTCGAAGGGGTGTGCGAGTAAACGGGTTGGTGAGTTGAGAGGGTGAAGGAGAGAGATAGATAGATAGATATAGATAGATAGAGAGAGAGAGAGAGAGGAAGAGAGAGAGAAAGAGGGAATGTGTTTGCTCGAAGCGACGAAAGTGAACGGCAGAAATAATGGACGACGGGTTCGAGAGTAGAGTGGCTTTGCGCTCCGTACAGGCATTTGTTTGAAAGCGACGGCAACGTACACTGGTAATAAACATGCCGAGCTAGCGGATTGACTGATGATACCATCCACACCGTCGGATGTTATTGGTTGTTCACGGCCAACCGTTGAGCAGTTAGTATCGAGACGATGTGAGATATGTATATGTATATGTATATGTATATGTATATGTATATGTATATATATATATATATATACAATATATCAACGTCGAGCGAATGATGATCGTTCCACCGTTTCCTTTCTCTTTGTCTAGGTTTAACTCTTGAAATTTTGTTTCATTGTGACAGAAAGAAGATTTCAGGAATACAATTGGTTATCTTTTCTAAAATGAACTCTTAATACCTTTGTTAAGATACAATAGTACGATCCTATTATAGTTACGATTTTCAATAGACATTTTGCAAAGGATTATGGATCAACACAAAGAGTTCACTCTAATTTTCATATAAATTTTCTAAGATAAATTTTTCATTTAAACACTTTCTACGTACTCTTTGCGAAAAATTTAGAATAGAAAGAGATCGCTAGAGATAGATAGGTACGTAGATAGATAGATAGATAGATAGTTACATACAGGAGGGAGAAAGAGAGAAAGTAAAGTGTGATGAAGAAATAGATTTCGAGGAAACGCGACGCGGAACGATTCCCTCGGGCGCGATCGTCATTATCATAATTTTTTCTCAATGTCGCCTAACGAACGCGACATCGAATGCGTAGAAGATGCGCTATGCGTGCCAAGAGAGACAAGAGCGTAGAGTAAAATAGTCGTGAGCGAGTAGACGAGTGTTGGGGTAGAGTCGGGATGGGTATAGGTAGGGTATCTGTAGGGGGTGGGATTTGGAACCGAGAGGTGGCTTCCGTACTGTATCTCTATGTGTATGTGTATGTGTATGTGTATGTGCGCGCACCTCAGCCCGCGGGGTGCAACTTAATGAGCTTCCTGTGTTGGTTCCGCTTTTAGCGCGTAACTTGGCGTCCCTCTTGCACTCCCTCCTGCTTCCAACCCTATTCCTCTTTCCCTTTCTCGCTCTCTCTTTCTCTCTCTCTTTCTCTCTTTCTCTCTCTCTTTCTCTTTCTCTCTCTCTCTCTCTCTCTCTCTCTCTCTCTCTCTCTCCCTGCGATCTTCTGTAGAAAGACTCTTTCCTCCTTCCGTAACTCGGCAACGATCTGCCAAGCAACGGCAACGATTTGTGCACGCATTTCGCGAACGAACGCTTAAAAACGATCTTTCTGTATGGGCTCTGAAAGACTTGTCAAAGCTAAACCAGAAATTAGTCTATATGCGTCATTCTGACGTCGTCAAAGTTCTTCTCTTTCGTATTCGACCTATGCTCAGGGTATATGAACGGAGCTATGTATGTATGTTCGCTATCGCGAACTGTAACAGTTGTATCGGAAGAGCTACCCCACAATACAATATCTATCGTAATAAGTTATGGGAATACGTTCGTGAAGCACCATCACGAGATATAGAGTTTAATAGTGAATTTTTACGAGAATTTAAGAGAGATGAGAAAATCTAAGAGGATCATCTATCTTGATAAACTCGTTCAAATCGAAGAAGGAAAAGATAAACGAAAGAAACGGAGAAATGCGTACTTTCGAGAAAGAAAGTGAGAAGAAAACGATGCGAAAAGAAAAGGCGAACGAAGAGCTTTTAGGATTTTCAGGGAAGAAAAGATGAGAGAAAGGCCGCGCTCATTAAACTTTATTAATCACACCGGAGTGTTCTTCTTGGCAAGGAGGGAGGGCTGAGGGTGAGGGTTACGGTGCCTTTTTATTTCGCTTCTAATTCCACGAGAGCGAGTCTCCCGTCGATGCGAGTCTCCTGTACACGACAACGCCGACGACGCCGACGACGACGACGACTACGACGATGACGATGCTTCTCTGGCATGATTTCATCGGCTCGTATTTCCGTCGGATCGTGTGACACATACATCCAACAAACAGGTATACGTTGAAACATAGAGATGGACGACGCACTCGCGCACACAATACGATCGTATACTTCACGTCCTGAATCCCTCGACACTGCTCTTTTCACCGAGTGGCGAAACGAGGATTTTGCGGTTTTGTAGAAGTGCTGCTGCTCCCTGAAAATGTGCTAAGTTATCGCCGTTTAAGCCTCTTTACGAATCCTATCCCTCTTTTTTTTCCCTCTTCTTTCTTTCTCATCTTCGTCATCATCCGCTTTATCTATCTTTTATCACCTCGATACTACTCGCTCTCTCCTTCCTTCCTGCTCTCTTTTGTTTTCCCATTTTTCATCCACGATCTACTGCCTCCCTTTCTCTCTCTCTCTTTCTCACACCACTCCTCAACGTTCAACCATTGACCCGATTACTTCTTCTTCGACATCAGATTCCTAATCATTGTATACAGACATCATACTCTTCTCCCAAAGGATTAACTGTTACTGCCAAGGATACTTGTTCCCGATCGTTTCGGTAACGCGCATCCTTAGTTAGAACACACCATTCCTACAACCGTTACTCCATTTCGTGGTAAGCTAATTGGATTATACGATTGCCAAATTGACGCACCGCTCCGTATACTTCGGTATATTGGAATACCATTGACAATATTCTCTCTCTCTCTCTCTCTCTTTCTCTCTCTCTCTCTCTCTCTCTCTCTCTCTCTCTCTCTCTCTCTCTCTCTCTCTCTCTCTCTCTCTCTCTCTCTCTCTCTCTCTCTCTCTCTCTCTCTCTCTCTCTCTCTCTCTCTCTCTCTCTGTCTCTCTCATTAAATAATTTTTTTCCTTCATATTCGTTAAAAAGTCGCTACAGAAAAATTTCATTTTCACGTTTACATCACGAAATCGTTCGAGGAGTTAACCCTACCCCATCCCCACCCCCATCCACATAAGAGTACATATATACATCAATCGTGATTTGAAACTCTTTTATCCTTTCTCCTTCCTTCCTACCCCGCCTCCCATTCTTTTCCTCGCGATAAATTTCGGGAAACTCAATATTTGATTTGATAGCGGATTTATGGAGATTCTTCAAAGTCAAATAT